ACAGGGCATTCATTCCTACAGACCATTGCTAATGTAGCTAGATGTAAAACGAGTTTCCCCTTTCATAAGCTCCATGAAACATCTATTCTGTGTTCCTGGTGAATCTCCAAAAGTATGATAGGGAGCCGAAGTCTCCTCCCTTTCCGGTCGGCTCATGGGTCCCCGGAAGAGCGAAAAAATGAATGCAAGTCAACGTGGCTAAAAACACTATTATCTAATCCGCTTAGCCTTACGCCCTGGATCGCACATATGTTGTACTGCAATTTAAGTAAAAGTAATGATGGGTGTTTTGACCATGTCAGTCAAGTACTTTAACATTCATCAGCTTGTAAAAGTTTGTAATTAGCATGACTACATACCAGAAATCAGCACGTTGCATGTGTGATGTCACCACATAATCTCCTCTCCCCTAGGGTAGCTGCTACTTACCACATGACCAGATTTATGGTGATTCTTTCCTCCTGTGGGAAGTTTGCTGAACTTACAGCCCTTTTCCCTCAGTTTTCTCTGTGTCTGGTTTGATGACATCACTTTCGTGAAGGTAGTCCTGGACTTATTTTCACACAATACCAAAAATATTGTTTCCCCGTTTAAAAAATATTCAAGACATCAAATGTGGAATCCATGGCACAAAACAAGCGGAATTAGATTTTTAGCCCTGTTGACTTACATTCATTTTTTCGTTCTTCTGGGGACCCATGGTCCAGAAGTGACAAACCCCAGTTTCACACTGCAAGCATCAGCGGAACGGAACAGCATCGAAGCAGCACCGCTTCAAATAGAATCCAATTATAATCTATGGAGTGTTTCAAATGAGCCGCGACGCGGCAATTTTCAGGCACGCCCCAGAAGCGGCATGACGCGCCACGCCGCTAAAGATAGGATCGAGTTCTATTTTTTCCACAAGCCGCTCCTGGGACACTTCAATTTCCGCAGTTAACAGTGTGAGACAGGAAACCACACACGGTTTCAGTGTAAAATACCCAGTTATTGTCAAAATAAAATGCAACGTTGCAATGTTATATATAACTTACGTCAGCACGTGTGACCGAACGGCTTTGTTTACCACCAGTTTCTTTCGAGAAGTGCAATGGTGTGATTCCTTGCGGGGGTTGTGATCTCTCCATGAGGAAGGTGTCGGAAAACTCGAGGGATTGAAGAATCTCGTGAGTACAGCGAGGAAGCCGCAGCCAAGACTCTCCCGGTGTGTACAGGACCGCTTTGAAGTTCGCGAGTGAGCCGCCCCGCTGCTGTTCCTTTCTGCTGATGCTTGCAGTGTGAAACTGGGGTCAGGCACCCTATACAAACCTGGACAGTAAGACATCATCAAAAATCAACACTTAAAAAAAGTTTAAGGTCGGTCACACAGCTACTGCTAACGCTAGCCTGAGATGCTGCTAATGCCTATCCTTGACGAGAGGAAAACATCAAAGAATGTTCCAAAATGCACTGGGACTATCCAAACTGTGCCAGATAGATCCACAGCCTGTCTTCTTTGTCCTTTCCCCTTTGTGTCTCCTTCTCTCCTGGACATTCTGCGAGTCTCATGACTCGCGAAGGATAAAACAACGAAGGTTTTACTGGTAAAAGATTCATTTACTCAGTAACCAAAAGCCACACAAGCAAGAAAATGTAAATACCTCAGGTCATATAAATTTAAATGACAATTTTAGCCAACTGGGAGTAAATAATGTTAATATATCTGCACTCATGCACAAATGAGAGGCCCTGAATCTGTCGTTATAGATGTTAGCCACACAGACAAACATGCAGATACAAAGCTAGCTTTGTGTTGTGAGCATAGCCTATCCAAACTGCAAAGACCCCTAATCCATCAAATAGGATGAGACTTGTCAGTGTAACTAAATGCCAACTAAGCTGTCTAAGAAGTGCATTAGAGGGAGGAGGGTGGGAGTTTGTGGTAGTGGTACGGGCTGAATGGGGGGTTAAAGTTCTTTCTAGTTTTGTCATAAACCCTTTGCATAATTCTCACAGGGAAGCTTTGCTCCCAAAAACACTTTCTGAAAACAAGCATTTGTGTTTGTGTTGTGACTGTCTCAGGGGAAGGTCCCAGAATAGATGGCTGTGTGCACTGGCTACTTAAGAAAAACAGCAACTTTAGGCAAAAGGTTGATCTCACTGAAAAACACACCATTTCACTGGGAAAAAAGCTCTCGTAACAGGTGAAAAGACCAGCTGGATCAGTTCAGTAGGAGACTGGATGCTTTTACTGCTACCAACACGGATTTACTGTATACGTTTACGTTTGTTACGGTAAGTCGGAGGTCACCATCACGAGAGGGAAGAGACTTGCTCTGATCATCTAGTGAACCTTTACAGCTTCCTGTTTACATGCAGGGTTTAAGGCTACGGGGATCTACTGGTCAGCTGGTGCTGTTTAAGCTGGTTACAACATAAACACTCAACCCCAGACGACAGAAAAGGCCAGGTAACAAAAAACAGATCTTGAGTTTCCAGTAAGATAGACCAAAGATCCATTTACCACCCAAATAATCAAAATTCATGCATTTGCATGGTTTTCATTGTTTTTGAGTTGATTACATTAGGAGTTACTGCGCCGTGGGTGAAGGAAGAGCCCCAGAAGCTTTTTTGGACAGATGCAAATTGTTTTCCCTAAAATTACAAAACAGAATTGATCTTGGCGTTTGCCTCTCTCAGATTCGACAGTATTTAACATACCTCCCAAACAGAGCTTCCTCAGTGAGACCGCCAGCTTCGTTAACTGAGAAGAAACACGTTTTCTCCATTTCACTTTTGGCACAATGACTTTACCGGGGGGAAATAAATCACTTTGATCCATGAAACCCATCTAGGGCTTGGAGAACACGCACACGGGTAGGTTTTTAAGTTTAAAAGATGCCGCTGAATAAAAGTAGGATGTTTCGTGGATTTTAACCAGAAAATCTTCATAACATGAACATCTAAAAATGGTTAAAGGTGTATTATGTTAGAATAAAGTAAGAATGACATCCTGTGGTCAAATGTGGTTACTGCAGGCCATTTTTACAAAACGTTACGTTCTCACTTTCTGTTGCCAGTAACGGATCAGCACCAGAAGACTCTAGATGGCAAGTGAAGATGAGTCATTCACAGTAAGTTCACAAATAAATGCAGTGTTATATCTGGTGTTAGCACTCTTGGGCGTTTAACTTTAGGGAGCACTTACTACACTTATTACGGTATTATACCTCTGGCATCACAGGAGTTTGTCGTCTTGCTGTTATAGTTCTGAACAACTCATTGAAGGAAGTAAAATGCCACGATTCACTCATTATGCACTTCACACATGCAGCCGACCATTAGCTTCTAATTCACCGTTAGCATTGTTAGCTCAATGTTACCCTCTAGCCTGCTTCACTTGATATGAAAAGATGCCGTGGCATCTTAGGGGTACAAAAAATAAATTCTGCATCACTCCTGTTTACTAGCTTTGGTCCTTTAAAAGGTGTGGAACACTGAAAACCCATTTTTATTATTATATCTGAATATGATGGGTCACTCTGAGTTTTTCAATTAGGCGGAACAAAAAATAGTCTCCTACACCTAGCTCCTGCATTAGCTTCTGATAGAAAATAGACAGTGAAATTCTAGGATTAGAAAAGCCACACGGATCTACGTCACACTGTCATTTAACGTTCATGGACTCACCCATCTTGACTCACGACGGGAAAGGCTGTTGTCCAGAAAACAGCAGAGAACGTTTTAGCTGGTAAAAGCTAACCATTAGCATTAGCAACTCCACCACACAGCAGAACTTCTTCAGGCTTGTGTTATTAGTGGCAATGCAAACAGTCAGTGGTAGAGTCACGTTGCTGTTAAACAATCAGAGGAGAGATGTCCAAATATCATGAAATGAGACTCCAGATCCGGTTGTCTGAAGCTCGTCTCTGATGTGGCTGACTTCTAGTTCCTGAAACAAATGCACTTGTGCTTTTTTCCCCCAGAGTACGTCTTACAATGCAAGTGTTACCACCTTTAAACCTTACATGAACCTAAATGACTTGGGTAAAATACAGTAAAATCATTGTGGTTGTACGTTTCTGATTTTGTGTCAGCAGTAGGGTTTTCAGCAGTACCACAGCTGCCTAGATCTTTAAGGAGCTAGGATAAGTCAAAGTTTTGAACTTTTGGGAGAGCGAGAGGGGGTTATTCACCTCTCAGTGAGACTTTAAATATCATTTTACACAACATCATGACTCTGTGGGGCACATACAGCAAAACATTCTGAAAGCAGTCTTAAAAGGGTCACTTATCCAAACTGTGAAAGTTAATCCAGCAGTAAATGCATCCAGACGGGAGATGTTCGCTTGTCCGATGTATGGTGTTTTTACCAGGTTCTGCTCAGCTGTAGTGACGGCAACACTTGTGTTGGAATGCAAGTGGACTCACTGACTCACACTTTTACTGAGTCACTGATTCAGAAAAAAAAGGAGGGAGGTTGTTTCTGTCCTGTCCCTTGTCCTCAACATCAGAACCCCAAGAATGAAAGACACAGAAAACAGTTCATAGTGTTTGTTTTGTTTACAGCAATCAGTCAACTGGAGAAATTAGGAAGTGGTGCAGCATGTGGGCTGGAGCATGACCTGACACCTGACTTAGAGTTAGAGTAAGGGCATGACAGTGATATATGACCCCTCGCTCTCTCACACACACACACACACACACACACACACACACACACACACACACACACACACACACACACACACACACACACACACACACACACACACACACACACCTCCCTCTCTCTCTTTCTTTTACTCACGTCAAATCCCAAACAGAGCCAATAGCGACGCACCGAGCAGACGAGCCTTCACGAGCCAACCCTCTGATTTGTTGCGTTCCGCGGACCGAGCTGCGATCATGTGACGGTTAAGCGATCCACCAGAGAGAGAGAGAGAGAGAGAGAGAGAGAGAGAGAGAGAGAGAGAGAGAGAGAGAGAGAGAGAGAGAGAGAGAGAGAGAGAGAGAGAGAGAGAGAGAGAGAGAGAGAGATGGAAATGCAAAGCGCAAAGCTCCTGTGCAGGAGTTTTACTGCCAGCGCGCACCATTACGCACCGACACCTCGTCCCGGATTGGATCGCGCAGCGTAAAGGAGAGGAGTTTTGTTTCCTCGCATTTAAGGGTGAGAACTTTTTAACACGATGAGGCTTCGGCTTTCTCCTTTCACTGGTTGAGTGGTTTTCCGTGAGCACAAACTCTGATTCTACGCGTCTCATCCTGGAGCGCAGCGCGTCTGCTGAGCGACAGGACAGAAAACGCGTGACCTCCTGCCGGCTGCACGCCGTTGCGTTTGGTGCATGAAAAGGTTAAATCCTGCTCGTTTATGTGACATTTTAACGTTAAACCAAGAGGTCAGACTTGGACATGCAGCGTTAGATGTGCCATCACTACTAATAATAAACTTCAGCCATGCTGCGCTGCTCGGAGCAGAGAGCATCATGCTGTCAAACGCGTTCCTGATGTTGCACGGCCGCGAGGTTACTACAGGTCAAATGACTTCAGGCAGCCAAGTTATTCTCAAACTCTTTTTTTCTTTCCATGAGGTCTCTCCGCAGCCGCAGACAGCTCCTATCTTGTCTCCGTGTCAGTCAGATTCCGACTGCACGGCTCAAATTACTGAACAAATACATTTTATTTGTGATTGTGTGCAAAATTATAGCCAGTAAAATAAACATACAAACAAAAACATCTCTTTATTCTGCAGATGTCTTGATTTGCAAGCGGACTGACGTTTGGAGAAACTTACAGAAGAGGGCGCTCAGTGGTTTTAAATCCAAACGCGTTAGTTTAAGTTTTAAAGGGTCGCGTTTTAAACACCAAAGCCTTCTGACGTGTTTTTAATCCGCATGCAAGTGAACTGTTTGTGAGCTGCGTGGTGCATAAAAATAGAAAATAAATCCTTCACTCATCATCCTGCTGACATGTATTTAATCCAGGATAGAGAATAAAAACGTCCCTCTTTGCAATAAAAAAAGTCAGATTGTGTTTTTATGATAATCTCAGAATGAATTATAAAACCGTTATAACCCAGATTTGGCTGAGTTATGACTATAAAAGGAGACAAACATGATGTTAAACAACCATGTGGCTTCAATTTTAAAGGTGATAGAACTAAAGGAACTCTTAATTCCACGTGGTCAGCGTGAAGTCTGAACCAGCAGCTGCAAGTCTACACACACACACACACACACACACACACACACACGCACACGCACACGCACACACACACACATTCCCCCACCCTAACATGTGGTTGACTTTTGAAGTGCTATTCCTTTGCAGATCTCTTGAACAAGCAGCAGGTAGTCAATTTTAAACCTAAATGTGTATTTCAAATGTCACTCTGCTGTACTCCGTCGTCATGGAGACCCAAGGGGCTACTAAGTGATATATTAATCTCTCATTTAGTGTCAGAATGTCCAAAGTCAGAGTACTTTGGACAATATACCCAACTGAAACGTCTGTGGTCAACGTCTACCCAACAGGTCAGACTTCACCAGCCTGCCGCTCTCATCTATGAAAGAATGAGCACTAGTTGTCTTTTCACCAAAATGCTTTAATCAAAGTATGATTTTGTAACTAAATAATTTCTTCTTCACAGGAAAAAAGGAGATAGTCCCGTAGAGCTCAGCAGAACCATCAATCCGCACAGGAATGGTGGATCACCTGCCGCTTGGCGAGGAGACCTTCCTGTATTATTCCTGTTCTCCAGGATCTGACTACGGCGGCATCACTTGCTGCACCAAAGGTGGCATTTCGCAGGACGTCATGGTAACTGACACCTGCACCTACCAGCATCTTCCTTACCAAGGGCTGGCGCTCTCCTCCTCACGTTGCCTCTCCGAGGATGACCTCAGTGACTCCTCCAGCCCTCGCTCCTCCCTTTGCTCCAGCCCAGAGTCTTCATCACCGGTATCACAGAACGCCCACTGCTCCAGCTATGAAAGCAGGAGCAGCTGGAGCAGCGGGTGCTCAAATTCATCAGGAGGAGAGAGTCAAGAGAGCCTGTTGGACCTCCTGCTCTCACAGTCCTCCATCACCACCTCGTTAACCTCCAGTAGTGGCAACAGTTCCATCTCTTCTCCTCTCTGTTCTTCTGTTTGTCTCTCCTCCCCATCCTCCTCATCTCCCACAGCCCCCTTTGTGCCCATGGGCCTGGCATGGGAGTCCAAACAGCGGCTCAGTGTCCTTCCACAGCAGGTCAAAGAGGACTGTTTTGAGTTCCCAGTCTTCCTCGATGAGCTGCAGGACCCTGAAGCACTCCTCTTTCAGCCGACTCTGGAGGAGATTGAGGAATTCTTGGAGGAGAACATGGTGGTGGCAATGGACAGAGATGAGAATGGGAGCGACGAGGCAATGTCTCCTCCTCTGTCGATGTCAGATGATGCTGAAGCAGATGATTTAAGGACACCAGCCGGAGAACTTGAATCGGTGTCTCAGAACTCGGATCAGACTGTGCCTGTGGTCCTTTCTTCACTTTCCTCCTGCTCAGAGACCAAACATTCACCACAGGCTTCAGATATTGCTAGTTCATCATCAACAACATCAACAGAGGATGCGAGCAGTGGAACTCTTTCTGCCAGTAGTTATATTGATGGGATCAAACAGGAAGACTGTGGATCATTGGCAGCTTTATCAGAAAACGCCACCATATCACCCAGTGTGCCTGTAATTCTTCAAATTCAGCCCATTCAGGTCAAGCAAGAACCAAACCCCAGTGCCATATCAGACGCTGTCACCCACCAGTCCCCCAAAACCCATTCCCAGCCAACTGAAGGCCCATCACACATAAAAATAGCCCAGCTCCTGGTCAACATCCAGGGACAAACCTTTGCTTTGGTGCCTCAGTTGCTTTCTCCTGCAACAGCTTGCTTGAACAAAGCAGGAGGTGCTGCTTCCTCCAAGTTTGTCCGGATCGCACCAGTGCCCATCGCGGCCAAACCCACTGGGCTCGAGGAAGGTGGTTTAGGTGGAGGAGGTTCTGCTGCGGGGGTCCTTGCTGGAGGTCAGCGGTACCAGAAGAGCACAGTGGCAGACCTCATCAAAATGCACAAGTGCTCTTTTCCTGGCTGCAACAAGATGTACACGAAGAGCAGCCACCTTAAAGCACACCTGAGACGACACACGGGGGAGAAGCCCTTCGCGTGCACGTGGCCCGGCTGTGGCTGGAGGTGAGGACAGCCGAGTTGTTGAATCAGGTTGAAGTGTCAAAATGATTGTTGGGCCAATAATCAGGAATGTCAGTTAAAATCTACAAAGATATTGTTCTGCAGAGTTCTGCTACATGCACCGTCAGCATGTTTCCCTACACTTAAGAGATTACAGCAATCAGGATTATCAGCTTCCGCTTCAAACAAGTCTGCATCCACTGACTTATGACAGCTGTTGATAAGAAGCCAGGAAGTGTTTTTATTGAGTTGTTTTTATAGACAAGGACACACTCCAGGAAACTGTTTTCTTGATTTTTTTTTTGTACTTTTTTACTCTTTTCTGGAAGCTCAAACATGTTTTCAGATCTTAAGTCTTCTCAGACAAACAGGGTCTTTGATGTTTGGGAGAACCAGTAGCCTCAGAAGTCTTTAGATGACTCAGAAGAACGGGTTTAGATGAGAGCTACACTCTGGACCGTGTTCAGCACGGTCACAATTTGTTCTTTTCCACAAGCCAAGTCTGTTGCTGCTATCTGTGTGTTTTTGAACCACGATAAAGTCGCAGATTAGGTAGGACACCCTTTGAAGTAATCTGTATGTAGACTTTGCCCAGTTAGTTGGTCCAGCTGTTTGCTTAGCATCCACAACCACAGAACATACAACCCAGAAAGAAAAGTCACTGGATTAGTACTACTATCAAAAGAAATGTGACTTTTCTACCGGGTGTACCTCCAGTATGAGCTTTCTTGGCCTCACTCCTCCTTTAAAGTAAACTGGAAAGTCCAAACACCAGTTTCTGGAACTGCTGGTCAGTGAAATCCACCTCCATATGTACTATCGTCGCTCAAGGTTGAGTCTTTTGTGTGTTTATGTGCACAAATAAATGGGAGGGGTTACGTTGGGTTAATCAACATGATTGAAGTTAAATATTAAAAAAAGTTTGGGTTAACGATTAAAACTTGAATGAAACATAGATTTTTTTAAGGCGATGCTAACATGGTGGCGTGTTTACTTTTGGGAAAGTTCTCTGACAACAAAAGTGAATAAGATAAGTTTAAGTAAACAATAATAATTCCAGTCAACAGAGACGGTGGATCCATGCACTTTGAACAATCAGTATAAAATTCCTACATTTGAAACACTTTCTCACAACATTCAATGTCAGATTTCCTTTCAACTGTTTGGAATTGTCCGTGTTGTGCAGGGAAATGATGTCTACACTGCATTTGTTTATTTATTTTCAGCATTCAGTTTGATTTGAGATAAGTTGATGAGGGTTTTCCAGAACAAAGAAAAGTGGAACACTGACATTTCCCGCAGGCAGATCCACTCTTTTTGAGGAATTAGTTACAACTAAAAACCATATAATTTAAATTAATCAATCAGCTGATCGGTTAATGCTGTTTTAAACAATCCATCACTGGTCATGCATGTGCACATGTGGCTGCTGACTTAGGCAGCAAATTCAGTCAGCTGATGCTTGAAGCACCAGGATTTTCTGTGCTGAGATTCTGGAACGTGGAAGTCGTGCTGCTGTGAAATGCTAGCTTAGTGCTTCGCTAGCTTCATGTAGCCTCTTAATCAGATGCCCGAGCCACCTCAACTGGCTCCTCTCGATGTGGAGGAGAAGCGGGTCTACTCCGAGCCCCTCCCGTATGACCAAGCTTCTCACCCTATTTCACCCTGTGGAGAAAACTCATTTCGACCACTTGAATCCGCAATCTCGTTCTTTTGGTCATTACACAAAGCTCGGGACCATAGGAGAGGGTAGGAACAAAATATTTTGTACTTTATGGGTTCAGTTGTCAGTGCTTTACCTTGATCTGATGATGTCACATGACAGCTAAGCACAAACCAACATCCTGGATTTTCTGAGAAAGGCTTTGCTGCATTGCTCAGCGGAAAGCAAGGCATTAACCTCTAGCAAATAGACTATAGCATTCCAGGTAGCTGATTAGCGCTCAATCTTTCTATGAATCTTTACACACATACACACACACACACACACACACACACACACACACACACACACACACACACACACACACACACGCACGCACGCACGCACGCACGCACGCACGCAACATATATACCAAGTAACGTGTCGATGGTTACATTGTGATTTCTTAGTAAATATTCTATTTGGTGAGAGATAAACTTTATTGTATTTATCCTAGTGTATCTATAATTAAACGGGTAAACTAGTAGTAGCACATTCAATGTCAAAGTGAGTAAAATGTTATTATCAGGAGAGAAAGAAAGTTTAAGTGGTTAGCAACAGTGTTCAAGACGATGGCCCCCTCCATGAGGGAACCACAGCTCAGCATTTATGTATTTTAGACATGCAGAACTCCTGTTTCCTGTTACCAAGTTGCAGTTCACTAAAAGCGTTGCTTCTAGAGTCCTTGTGACTACAGCATTTAATTGTACTATGATGTTCTTTGCCCATTTCCATCTGGAACAGGAAATGCACATAAACTAGTGAGCGAGGAACCTCTTACCCTTTGTAACCTTAGAGGAGATCCATGTGTTGGTTCCTCTGAAGTCGAGAGAAGTGGTATTTCATTGGCTGGAATCCAACATGTGTATCTGTCAAAACTGTGTTTTTCTTTTTCTCCCTTTTGATGTGTTTTAAGACCTGTAGTTCTCCATCTTGTTGTTGTGTATGGATTTTGTCATTGTACAGAGCTGGATGTGATCATGACTCTTACGTAACATCGGGATCATGTACAGGCAACAACACACCAGCCTGCTGTATTTTCAGCTCAGGCCCTGAGGTTTATTTCTTACAACGACCGAACTTGAAGCCAAAGGCTTGCTGTAAAAACACAGTGGCGTGCATGTACTCGTATGTGTGATCAGGGTTGAAGATCGTTGTCTTTGTCAACTGATTCATCGAGCACCACAATTTCAGATGATGACGGAGCTGTCACGGTTTACTTTCTGTTAAAATTTCACCCTAGACCAAAATCAAGAAGCAAAACGAATAATCTGGCTGATGATTGAAAGTTGAGATCAGTGCGAGTAACTCTGCAGGTTTGTAGCTAACCTGAGCGCCCCGCCTTCCATTCTCTTTTCACGGGTTTAGGAACGTGCCAGAACACAGCCTGCATATGTTTCCCAGACCGCCCACACTAAAATGTATACTATGTGTTGTGCTGCTGCCACACCAAGCTGCCTGGAGGATGTAAGCCACAAGCCAATGTGAAAAAAAAAACCCACTGTCATCCACAAAATTCCTTTTGTATTTAAAACTCACTGACTTTAAAATACAGAAAATAGAGCAAAGAAACCTCCAACTTGTGGGATATTTTTGAATACAAATAATACTAGAAAGAGGAAAAACGAGACTGAGGGCACGCATGGTGAGGCTGATTCTTTCACACTTTCCATTTGCAAAGCTCATTCAACCTTTTTCTAGTTGGGAAACCATGGCATGTTGAAAGTTTACTGTCATTAGAAGAGTTGGACATGGTTTCAATCAAGCCCCAGCTTGCAGTTGATCCTGCATGGCCCCAGGGTTCAATGTGAGCACATATATGTCTACAACCGCTTACTGCAAAGGCCAAAAGCACCGCCATTTAGGGCCCAGATCATGAAAAATAACACAAACTCCTGTAATTCAAGAAACTGTTAAATGATGAAGTGTGTGATTTTCCTTATGACTTTTATCATTTCAATTATTTATTTATTTATTTATTTATTTATTTTTGGTTAAAGCTGCTTTAGATAAACTACAGAACAAGCTAAGTTTTGAACGCAAACACAGTCATGGAACACTCACCCCTCCCCTCAAGTATCTTCGCCTAGATGCTTCTGCAGGAACTGAAACCCACATTGCTAGGGGAAACAAGATAGTGCTAAACACCAGTCACCATTTTCCACGTCCAGTCATCTTTTGTTGTCCGCTACTTCAAATGCTGTTTTTCTTTCTGGGACTCTGGTGATTTGCCCTGAAGTAGAAGTGGTAGCAGCCGGCCGTTTCTCCTTCTCCGATATTGTTGAGCGGAGAACCTCTCACACCAGTGGTGTTCTGTTGCCAAATACACAAGTGTGTGATGAGTGGAGGACCCTGGGAAGTTCAGCAGTTTGGCGAGACCAACAACCAGATGGTCAAATGATTGGTTTTGGTCCAAAACATGTTAAGGTTTTTAGACAAATGCAAGAGAAAAACTTTTTTCCTTTACTTTTTATTATTGGCATTAGCGTTATTAGTTGCTAGGGATTTTTGAATAAGAGTAGCAAAATTTTATTATAAGAATCTCTAATAAGGATAACATTTTGATGTAGGACATTTTTTTAGTACATTGATGACATCATCAGAAATGAAAGCAATCGACTGAAACATGACCAATCGTTTATATTTAGTTTAATGAGGCATTGCATTAACCAGATAAAGGACAGAATACCGTATTGTTCTTTAAAACCATAAAGTGATTCATGAAGTTTGTACTGAATATTGCTGAATTTGTTTAGGAATAAACGCTTTTATTTTAAAAGGGAACAAACGTTTTGAAGGATTTTGACCAAAGTGCTGCTCGTAGCGGCGGCAGCATTTCAAGCATCAGGACGGATGGCAACTTTGGAACTTTTGTACAGAGTTTATTGATTTTCCTCATCACTGGGAGAACATTTATAGAGAACCTTTATATAAAGATATATACACACACACACACACACACATATATATATATATATATATATATATATATAGTTCATGGGTCTTTTGCAGTAAAATAAATTTCAATGAAAATATAAAGAACATTTAGAATTGCATAAAATACTATTGTCACGTTCCGTGTCCTTGTCTCCCGTTTTTCCCTTCATCTCTCCCATTTCCTCCATGTTCCCTCCAGTCATTTCTGGCACCTTTATACTCTCATCATATGTAATTCATCCCATTCTTATTATTGTTCATCTCCCCAGTATTATTAGACTTACCTCTGCCTTTAGTTTCTCCAGGATTTATCTTAGTGTTCTCTGTTATCGTTTATTTAGATCAGGTGTGTCGTTATCTTCTACCCTTCAGTGTTCTTTGTTCTGTAGTTTGTTTTTCTGGATTATTTATTCTCGGTTATCCTAGATTCAGTCCCTAGCTCCCCAGTGTCTTTAGTTCTCTAGTTGTTTGGTTAATTCGTTTATTAATCTTCAGTTCTTAGGCTTAATTCCCAGCCCTCTAGTTTTTGTTAAGTAGTTTGTGTTTTACAGGTTTTATCAGATCTAGTTTCCTCGTTTTCTGTTTTGCTTCCCCACTCGTCTCACCTGCTTCCCATCAGCAATCACTCCCTACACACCTGCTCCCTGTTCCCCTGAACACTTGTGTTTGTCTTGTGTTTTTACATACTCCCTGCGCTCAGCTTTAATAAATATTCTTACTTTTGGAACCGTACCTGGCTGCTCTGGGATTACCACCTCACTTCACCTCTTTTTGGGTCCAACATCTATGGCTTCAATCCCTGACAAATGTAGTCCAAGAAGCCAATGTCCTCTTTAGTATCTCAATATGAACTCAGAGTCATGTTCGTTTGCTTCTACCTTTATTACTGGATTATTTAAATTAAGAGTTGTTGCATAATCCCTGTCTATAGAGTGTAAACTGTCAAACATAAATCCAAGCCTTTATCCTGCAGCTGCCACCATGAAATGAATTTCATATTAATATTATCACTTCAACAGAGGGTTAACCCTCCACTGTCGGGAAAGTCAAGCTGGCCGGAGACCATAGTGACCACGGCAGATCAGGTCCAGAAATAGATGGGCTCAGGTTTACAGTGCTCATGTGTTGCGCTAAATATGGGGCGGCACTTCAACTTTACAGAGGAGATGCATGCAAAGCATCGCTGCTCTCCGGTTACCCACCTAAAAAGAATCGGCAGCTTTAAGCACAACTCTATTATATATATTTTTGCTCGAGTCATATGTTTTTAAGTGATTGTTCAAATGGAGGGGGTATTAAACAGTGAGTCATGTTGCCTATGTAGGTTTTTTTTTATAAAAAGTGGTAAAGACGATTAATCCCTTCTCCGGGTTTCTTCCCGACAGGTTCTCCAGGTCTGATGAGCTGTCCAGACACCGTCGCTCCCACTCAGGAGTGAAACCATACCAGTGCATCGTCTGCGAGAAGAAGTTTGCCCGCAGCGATCACCTGTCGAAACACCTCAAAGTCCACCGCTTTCCACGAAGCAGCAGGACAGGACGCTCTGCAAACGGACCCCTCTGACCCCGCTCTGACACAGTGACGTCAAACAGTGGGGGGGAGGGGACGTGTGTGACGAAAGACAAGGGCAAGGACATCAGGTGGAGGGGTGACAGTCCAAACACCCTTAAAAAGACTCTGTACAAGGGCTGTGTTTTGCTCGTGTGTGTTTATGTTCAAGCGTGCGACGCACATTTATAGTACTGTGATAATTTATTGGTTGAAGAGGAAAAGGCTGTAAAAGAAAAAGAACTAAAACAGAAAACTGTTAGTTGACACAGCAATCTCACAGGTGGAATAAGCTTTTTTTTTGTACTTTGCAACTTTATTCTCAGATATTTTAGCCAATCTCTTTAGAAAGATTTTGTTATTCAGAATATTTTTTTACACATCCTGGTTTGATAAATCACACTTTAAAAGCTTCATATCAATAATTTTTATATGAAATCTCTTGTAAATCCTTTTTTTAAACTTTTTTGAGCCAATCGTAATTTAAATGAGATGTGAGCCAAATTTCATTAATAACAGGCGTAAATGTATTCCCCAAAAACAGTCTTATAGGGTAAATGTGTACAAAGCTAGCAAGAAGGGTTATTTATTTAGCTTAATTCTAAAAACACAGTTATAAATATGTCAACATTCCTTTAGCTTTGAAAATGTCCCTTTGAGTCTTAGTTTTAAACTTGAAAATGGTCCCCGAAGTAGCTGCCGGCTTCTGATCCGCCGTCTTTTTGAAAATACTGCGGTGTATTGAGGATAACTCCTGTGTATCCTTGCTCAGCTAGCTAAACGGCTAACAAACGGAGAACACACGCCTCGGTAGAACATGAACTTTGGAACACGTCTTGGCGGCTCCCGATGATGTGTCTCCTAGGCAACTGGGGCGGGGCCAAGACATCAAGACGAGGTTCCTTAACATTGAGAAACACCCCATCTATTGGACCATCCATTTTGCATTAGCCAAACCACCACACGTCCCTGGGCCCTCCACTCATCACACACTCACGTATTTAGCAACAGAACACCACTGGTGTGAGAGATTCTCCGCTCAATAATACCAGAGAAGGAGAAACAGCCGGCTGCTACCACTTCGGCTTTTGGACAAACTACCAGAGTCCCAAAAAGAAAATCACCATCACTCACAGACAACAAAAGACATTTGGAGCTAGAAAACAGCGACCGGTGTTAAGCAATTGATTCCTCTGGAAATGCGGCTTTCCAGTTTCAGCAGAAGTGTCTCGGGAAGATACCCGAGGGGTAGTGATAGGTAATTTGATTTTATCCCATATTACCTTAAAGGACGACACACCCGAAGAGAGAGAGAGAGAGAGAGAGAGAGAGAGAGAGAGAGAGAGAGAGAGAGAGAGAGAGAGAGAGAGAGAGAGAGAGAGAGTATATTGATTATTTGTAATGTCCATGTGTGTGGCTCAACCAGGCCCCATATCCATGTGTGGCTCAACCAGCCCCCACTCTGCTCCAGCCTCAAAGCTTTCTCCTCACCTGCTCTGTATACCTGCATTCTTCAATTATCTGGTAGATAATATTTAACCTCCATAACCCTGGAACCTGAAATAAACACACATGACAACAAGGAAGACATTTTACACTGAATTAGCCAAATGAGGGGGAGATCACCGAAATGACACATAACTCTCTCCAGAGCTATCTGCTAGGCGACTCCCCCCGTCCTCAGAGTCTTCAGTGGTTTTATTCAAGCAAAGGGTGGGGGAGAAGGCGGGCCTTCTCAAGTTACAGAGGTACAGAGTTTTCTCAATTAACATCCTTGCTCAACCTTTTTATGAACAGCCAACACAGAGATTCATGATGTGTAATGGGCATCTTTTAGGTCTCAAAAAGGTACATTTATAAAAATACCCAACAGGTAGGGCGAGTGTTCATTTATCGTGTTTGCGTTCAAAACCTAGCTTGTTCTGTAGATTTGCTAAAGCAGCTTTAAAGCTGAGGTTGAAAACTTTCTTGTATGTGAGTTTGTAACATTGCCTTGCCACATGATTTCTTACTTCCTGTAAATTAATTTACTTCTTTTTGCTGCTGCCAGTGTTTTAAAGATTGTGAACCTGTTGTGAAGCCCAACTAGAAGCTGGAATTGGTGTTTATGTTGAATTTTAATTAGTTAAAGAGCAAGTCACCACTACCAGATTCTTGCCCAACTTCCACTTCCTGTTTGAAAAATGCAACAAATGCTGTTGTCTAGCAGACCGAGAGGGGGGAGCCTCTAACAAATACACACACACAGGCTCACAACGACATTGTGACATCATATGGTACCAGCTAACGTTCTAGGGTACCTCTTAGCCAATAGCGATGGCAGATTTAAATTCAAATGCAGGTGCAGAGTTTTTACCTGACAACGGCACAACACTGACAGTTTTAGGCAGAAAATAATTTTAACTAAAATGCACTAAAGTGCAAAACTATTGACTACACGTGTCTGCAGCACGATTAGACACGGATTTATATAGTTTACCAGAAAAAAAGTTGATTTGGGGGTGACTTGCTCTTTAAATGTCACAAATGAGTGGAAGTTTCTGCTGAAATTTCAAAAATAAATCATCCCAGCTTGTCAAAACGAATGCACTAATGTGAGTAACTGAAAAGGAAAGGCTTCTGGAGAAAAATAAGTGAAAGTTGTTAATGCAAATTTATAAGAGGACTGTGTCCACTTGTTAAAAGGTAGATAAAGCTGCCTTATTTAGAAATTTAATTAAAAATCTGTCAAAAAAAACCTCAAATACAATTCAGAATGATGATTTTTTTGTTTTTAGCTGAATCTTTCTTGTTACGTCAGAAAACGTTTAAAATACAACCAAAAATTGCTATCATCTGTCCTCAATTTTGAATGCATCACAACTGCCTTTGTCTTGTGCTGCAAGGGAAAATTGACATTGAAGCTTTTTGCCACCTCACGTTCACCTTTTGGGTCATTTTTTATCACTCAACCAGCTCAGTGGCCTAGTGGTAGAGTGTCCCCCCGAGACTGGGAGATCAGGGTTTGATTCCTGGTCGGGTCGTACCAAAGACCTTGAAAAAATGGGACCCATTGCCTCCCTGCTTGACACTCAGCATTAAGGGGTTGGATTGGGGGGTCAAAAAACCAAATACAGCTCACCGCTCCCCCAGGGGATGGGTCAAATGCGGAGAACAAATTTCGCACACACATAAGTGTGTGTGACAACTGATGGGACTTTAACTTTAACTCTGTATCTTCAGATAAAATTCAGCCAAATGAGTCATGGGAGAGACAGCAGCTGCTGCACAGCCGAGACGTAGTTCTGAGACAAACGTCTGTTTATGTGCCATAAATGAAAGATTGTTGTGAACATTCACGTGACATTTTTATGGAAATGTTTATTTTCTCTGTGATTTTTCTTTTTAAAAGCCATTCTGAGTATTAAGGAAGTCACCCTGGATGCTGTATGAAGAGATTGTACTTTTTCAGGCATTCCTTCCACGCAAACAGAAGACAAACTTTTCTGAATGTGTATCATATGTGAGCCCAGGAATGTATGTAAATATTGTACATGCATCATAAAGGAGAAATGAATTATTCTTATAGAGAAATCTGTGATTGTGAAAGACTTTTGAAATTGTAAAGAAAGTGTACATAGCAAAGTATTTCACCTGTAAAATATGGAAAAAATGAATGTTTACAGAACACTTGAATGCTACTAAAATGTTTCATAATACATAACCTTACAAAACGATGCACTACAAATTCATTTATGCAACAGGCTAAACACATTTTGACACGTGGAAACCATAAACCAGCAGAATGTATACTGAAACATTTTAAAACTGTGGCCTGTAAACACTTCACAAATAAGAATTTGCTGAAATTCTTATATTTTTGCTTTGTTCTACTATGTAAAACACATTTACAATAAAATCATGAAATTTAATTTAGATTTTTCTGTCATTTTCAAGATAACATTTAGCTAATTGGTGGATTTGAGGAAATTTTAAGTCACTTTAATGAGCCAGATGGAGTATTAGGGTTTGTGTATTCATCAGAAATGTGTCATATCCAGACCTTTACATGTCTTCTGCCCTGTAGTGGAGGATCTACAGATGGCAAGGGCCAATTTTATTTCTTTAGTACTGTAAGTTGTTATTTAAGTACATTAAATCATAAGTAATTTGTTTTTATTTTACATTCAGACTTTAAGGGGTTAATATGGGCAGCAGTAGCTCTGGAGGTAGAGCAGGTTGTCCAGTGTCAAAAGTTGCAGGTTCGATCCCGGCTCCTGCCAGAAAATGCTGCTGTTTACACCTAACCCACCTTGCCCTCGGGTGGTGGTCAGAGGGACTGCTGGCGCCAGTGCTTGGAAAGCTTCGCCTCTGTTAGTGCGCCCCATGGTAGCTGTGACTCCATCGTAGCTCATCACCACCAGCGTGTTGAATGAATGAATGATGCACTGTAGTGTAAAGCGCTTTGGAGTTCTCTGACTCAGAAAGATGCTATACTAGTGTGAGTCATTTATCATTAGCACTGCATAGGCTGGCAACGTTGGTCCCTCTCATATGAAATACTAAAAACACGCCTCACTGTCAGCTCTGAATTGTGATTTCAAGTGGGCATGCACACATTCTTTTAGTAAATCAGCTGTCTAATGAACACCTTATTGAGTTTTGTGGGAAAAACAAGCTCTAGCACTCCTGTTTCAGAAATGGTAAATGGTCTGTATTTCTATAGCCCTCAAGGCGCTTCACAACAACTTCAGCCATCCACCCATTCACACACACATTCACATGCTGGTGGGGATGAGCTGCAATGTAGTCACAGCTGCCCTGGGGCGCAATGGATTTGGAGTCTTAATTATGAATTTGTGAACATCTCGCCTCTGAATGGCAAACATCAACACAACTCTTGCCTTCGTTTGCTCTTCTTTCTTGGGTGGAAAATGCAGCACTGATGTTCTATCTCCTCGGCTGTTTTCAGCATGCGTACTTGTCTGAACTTGTGTGCTTACGTTCAGTGAAACGTCATCAACGTTGGCCCAAGTGCTGTTCCAATTATTAGTACATAGCATGGCAAGTTTGCTTAAAGTTCCCAGACTTGAGGAGTGAGCACCACCTCACCCCTGCCACGTGGACCTCAAGGGATAAACCTCCAATCCTGCTCAATGGTCAACTTTCCTCACGGGGTCACCCATAAAGACAGTGGGAGGGTTAAAAGAAACGTTAAGTTTTAACACATATTGCCAGGACGCAACGGAATACGGTTCTGTTCCAAATGCCATCCTTGTCCTCCCGTACTATGTCGAATTAACTTTCTGCTGTACTTACCAAAAACCTACTTGTCAAGTACACAAGAAGGTACTCGTGCCCTTGAGTCCTTGAGAAACTGCCCTCAGATGCGCAAGCCTGAAGGAGTTTGTCCATGCTGTGGAGTTGCTGATGCTAATAGTTATCTTCTATTAGACGTGTCATGCTCTCTCTCCTGGATGCTAAATAAACAACAGCCCTCCATGGTCGCAAACCAAGAAGGATGAGTCCAGGGATGCAAATTTACCGTGGACGTGACAGGTGGCTTTTTTGAAACCAAACGTCTTCCTGTCGATTTTCCATCGACGGCTAACTCAGGCCAGGGGCGTGTCCAGAGAGTGGCCTGGGGTAGCACATGCCACCCTTGGAATCTGATTGGCCACCCCAGGTGCTACCACACTAATTTACCTTTAAATAGGCTTTTCATTGTCCACAAAAAGGCTTGGGGGTAAAACAAAAAAAAAGCACAACCATTGGTGCCACCCATGCACAAAGTTGTGCCTCATCTGGGCCACCCCAGTTTAAAATATCTGGACACGCCACTGATTCAGGCGACGGGATTAAAAGAATATGTTGATGTTCAGCATGCTTGTGAAACTCGGCATGACCGACCATATTTAAAAAATGTTTGTATTATACAAGGCTGCGCATTGGCGCAGTGGTTAGAGCTTTTGCCTTGTAGCAAGAAGGTCCTGGGTTCGCTTCCCGGCCTGGGACCTGTCTGCATGGAGTTTGCATGTTCTCCCTGTGCATGCGTGGGTTCTCTCCGGGTACTCCGGCTTCCTCCCACAGTCCAAAAACATGACTGTTAGGTTGATTGTTCTGTCCAAATTGTCCGTGAGTGTGTGTGTGCAAGATTGTTTGTCCTGTGTGTCTCTGTGTTGCCCTGCGATGGACTGGGAACCTGTCCAGGGTGTACCCCGCCTGATTGCCCGTTGACCGCTGGAGATACCCCCCACCCCCACCCCCCCGGTGACCCTGCGTGGACAAAGCGGGTTCAGAAGATGGATGGATGGAGTGTTATACAGTTTTTCAGTGAATCTTGCCTTTCAGGAGAGAGTATGGATATATAAAACAATACTCTAACAAAATTAGAAACAAGTTGATATTTTTATTTCTTCAGCTTTCTCTGCTGAAGAGTCCACTCGTGGCAAGCGAAGATCCTCCATCAGAGCTGATCTGCGTTTTGTCTTTCAATGTTCTTCAACACCTCATAACAAGTAATGATTCCTACGTCATTAGAGGACCGACTCTGTCTGGCATGCATTTTTAAGACCAAGTAAAATGTATTGAAACACTCACTGGCGTGCACACGTTTTGTGACACAATGTAATTTCAAGTGCTATTTAAAAGGTAACATCTAAAGAACTCGACAAGATGTTTTTCTTCTTTGTCCATCGCAAAATGAGTGTTTCTCAGAAAGTTACATAAGAAAGAAATGTGGAACACGTGGGGCTTATGTCAGTAAAAGATTTATAACACATGGGTGAATTAGCTAGGAAATTATAGCCTATTTTCTGCTCTTCCTTCATTCAGACTTGTTTGTGTTATTCCTACCACTTACTGCCTCTTTGCCACAACACTTTGAAGAACAATGTTTCTTGGCGTCCATTTGCTGAATCATTGTGTAAAAGCAGAGAAGTGGCAGCTAAGAAAGAGGTAGCAGCTAACAGCAAAAACAGGCTGGTGCCGACTGTGAAGTGACTGTTTTGGGTGTAAATCGTTTGGATTTATGAGCCTGTGGAGTCATGGGGGCACTCTGGGATGCAGCAAAAGGAGTTAATTTAACACATCTGGGCCCGAACTCTGTTTAACACTCGAAACTGAGGCTCTTTTTTTCCGTCAAAGTCCACGGGAGTATTTGTTCTTGAAAGTAGTAAAGACGAGGGGAAAAAATTGTAGTTGGCTGATACTTGGTGGAGCTTTTAGAGGATTGAAAGACCCCATTGTAACTCGCCTTTATAAACTATATCTCTTTTCCTGTTATGAAATTAGAGGGTAGCATGGACGTAATTTTGGGGGAGACGGAGGGACATGTCCCCCCACTTTCTCCACAGTCAAATTTTGACCCCTGCACTTTTTACCATCTAAAAACAATATTACGCTATATTAAATTTACACTGGTTGAGCTCTAGGACCAAGCGGAAAACAGGGTCCCCTCCCCCCGCCCCCATGCCCCCCCCCCCACTTCTAAAGTGAAAATGATGTCCATGGAGGTTAGGGTTGGGGTACACCACTCCATCATGTAAAACTCGTAAATCTGGTTTAGACATTGGTCTTTGACCATCGTAGGATTTATTTCTGTTTTGTGAAAAAAAAAAAAAAAAAATTGGAAAATGTTCAGTTGATAGATTGAAAAAAGACTGCATTTCAATATTTTTTAGTACTTTCTACAAATATCTTGCCAGGCCTTTCCACCATGTTTGTTGTGAAACGTCCGCCAAACATAACATGCAGTGATTAGCCACTGTTACTTATTCCTTCCACTGCACGTGAAAGCATCGCCAAACAGCCGCAAAACGTGCTATGCAGCAATTAGCTGCCATAATAGTGGATGAGTTCCTTTCCTCCTGCAGCAAAGTGTAACGTTTTCGACGCACCCCAGAAGAGACAGGGTGCTATCGTTACGTTTCAAGTCAATTTTTTACGCGCTACACTTCCAAAACACATCAAGTTCCGCAGTTTAGATTGCGCCAGACAAGAAGTCAAACACAAAAGCTAAAATATTCTTCAAAATAAGTCACATGCAGATAAACATGTCACTTTCCTGTTAAAACCCCTGTGGCCGATGTAAACACAACAGAAAATAAACCCCAGACCTTTTTGAGACATGCAGCTGTCTTTCTCCTTGCTCATTATTGTGGGTGAACTTCTGAAATCACGCATGGTGTTGCAAATCTCCCGTGATTTTGTGACTTCACAGGATGAGCTGTGTGGAACGCTTTTATTCTCGTTTCGCATCAGAGCCGCTCCTGGTTGGGAAAACGCTGCAATTACGCTTCGTCACTGCTTTCACGGTTGGTGTTTGTGGTTTCCACAAGTGTTATGTTTGCAAGCGTTCCAGAATCATAGTGATACGTCGCTAGTTCACGTGTTTTATGCGCTACGTTTTCGTAGTTCCGTAATGCATCAAACTCCACAGTTCAGATTGAGCTAGACAGGAAGTTATACACAAAAGCAATTTAAAATGCCTACAAACTTTCAAAATAAAAGTCAACGTGCAGTTTTCCAGTTGTTTAACTTGTAAAAAACGTATATCATTACCTGTGGAACCTTCATAGATGAGGGAAAAGAACAGAAAATAAACCATGGACCTGTTTGGATATATGCTGTTTCTTCTTGCTTGTCGTTGTGTGAACTCCTGAAATTACGCGTAGTCCTGCAATTCTTACGTGAATTTCATGACCTAGCATCTGCTCTGCTTACGCATCCAGTGGAAAGGCTGGGTTACAGTGAACATGTTGCCACTTTGGTATTAATCCCAGTTCCGACAGCAGAATTATCATGTTTTTAATTGTTGGTCCAATTCCTTGGACAAACAAATGTGCTGCTTGTTGCATGTGACGTGAAGCTAATCAGAAAGCAAGGTTGCAGAAGCAAAGTGCATGCACTCCTCTTCTGCCGTGTTTGTTTA